CAAAGTTATTTTCTGAGCTCCATGTCATAGGCAGTGGAAATGTGGTACACCATTCAAAGTACTTTTTTTTCCTTTTAGATAAAGCTCATGCAGAACAGCCTTAATATTTTATTGGGGGGGTAGGGGGCAGAGGAGGTGTGAGTAAATACCATATAGCATATTTCCTTGTTTGTGTGTATACAGAGCGCAAACTGAACAGAAATGTTTTCTGTGCTAATGCTACCCTTCATCAAGAGATTCAAACTCGTGTGTGCAAAGCAAAAAGGTATAGTGACTATACCTCTATTCTCTTAATTCTAAAACCAAATTTGGCTCTATTTTTCCATATGCTAAAAAAAGGAATATATCTATTGCTAGAATTTCTGTGGTTATGCTGTTTCTTCTTCTTATATCTTGCAGGGATTTGTGAATCCATCTTTGATTTACATGGTGAGCTAGTTAGGGCAGCTTTAACACAATTAACAATTTGTTGGCCTTGGATGTAGGGAATGTAATTTGTTAGAGCACTTCTGTGTTTTGCATGTATATTCTTAGTAGTCACCAGCCATATGATGACTTATTCCAGCTAGAACTGTGAGATTTTGAAACTTAGCCCACTGTGTTCCCAACTGACAAGCTAGGAGAAAGATACGGGGTAGGTGGATGGATACAACCCTCTTTAGAAAACTAAAGTTGTAGTTTGGTTGGAACACTGTGTGTTTATCAAGATAAGAAACTTTGGTTTTACACCTTACTTTAAGTACACAGATTCTTTTATAATGCAAACGTAATATTTCTTTTCATTAAAAAAAGCATTTATCTTTAGGGTTTTTGGAAAAAGGAGAAAATCTTACCAAGTAGAAGTCTAAAATAGCAAAAAAGGGAACATGGTCCATTCTGACAATCTGAAGTGGGATTAGCTTTAAACCATTTAACTGTGGACATTGCAAAATCACATATAACAAAGTTTGTTGCAAAGCACGGCTCTCCTTAGGAAGTTTTCTTCCTCTTACCTTCCTGCAGTGGAAACCCAGTATTAGTTGTCCATTTGCTCTGTGGCTTTCTGGGAGTTCTTTATGGAGTTGAAGCCTGTTCACAGACTTCCTTTCTGCAAGTTAAACGACCATAGTTCTTTTCAAGTGTTTTTGTACTGTGAGGTATTTTCCTGAGTGTTCTGCCAAGGTGTGGCACCCAAAACTAGCCACTCTGAGCTAGCAGGTTTATTGATATGAAATACACAGCTGAGTATATTTACCTTTCTTGCAAGAGTGTGGTCTTGCTAGTTCATGTTCAGCATGTGATGCTCTATATAACAAAGTGACAAATGTAGAATACTACAGTAATTTGGGTCATTTAATACAAATACATTTTTTTCACAACAATAAGCAGATATATTACTTTTGTTTCCCTTACCTTCTGTCTTTCAGTACACATTCACCCACAAAAACATACAATTTTTCTTTTGCAAAAGAGAGGGAGTTAAACAAGTAACACAAACTCATAGTTCCAAATATTATACACAGTAAAATATTTTCATCATAGAGTAAGTTTCATTGCATTATTAGAAATTATAAACAGCTTGTTCTGGTGATGGGGAATTATTACTACTTTCTTTCTACACAACAAAAATAAACACTGCTTTAAGATAGAGCAGTGGGTGAGTGGACTAATTGAGAATCTTCATAATGCTAATGATAGTCAAAAGTGGTATCTTTATGCCAGTTTGAAATAAACTTTATAATGCTTGTAACTTAGAAAAAGAAACGTGCATGTTCACAGGTTAGTAGTATCTTGTTTAAAATTCCAGATCTGATCTGACACCAGATTACTTCTACCTACCTTCATTAAAACTGAAAAAAGGTTCTGCCCTTGTGGGTTTAGCCACGCTAAATTCCACTGTCAGCGTATTTGCCTGAGGTGCACTGTGGCTACACAGGCAGTTTGATACGGATCGTTAATTGATAGATCATTTTCATTAAAAGGTCTTAGAATGTATCTTAAAACCTTCAGTATACTGTTTTTGCAGGATAGAATCCCGTGGTTGTTAAATTGATACAGAAAATTGTGCTTTGTGTGCGAATGAAAAAAACATTGGCTGATAAACAGCTGTCTAGTGTCTGTATTCATGCACCTTCCTTATTTGTGCAAGGCATGTTGGTGTGAAGAGCTCCTTGCCCTCTTGAAGAGGTTGCATCCTGCTTCAGAAATAAATTCCAATCCTGCATGAAATCCATGAAAGCTCTAGAATATCCATTGCACCAAAGAGAAAGGGATGCACAGGCTAATACTGTAATGCTTTAAAAGGTTAAAGACTGCTTCAAGTCTCTTGTAATCTCTCTTGCTGCTGACTTCTCTCTTTGTCTGTCTCAGCAGACACTGTCCCATTTTGTTCCTTTACCTGCTGTCCAAATTAATATTTCAAAGGGAGAGGAGGAATTTGAACTGAAGTCTTTCTCCATTCTTATATTTAACTAACTGTAAGTACAGTTGCATGTGTAGTTGAGTGCCAAAATAGTGTTATAAAGTTGAAGTTGTTAGTATAAAATTTTGCAAGTTGTCTGTTTCGTTGCTGACTCTTCAGTGGAGTTTTAAAAATGTACAGTAATCTTGTTGGATGCTACAAATCAGCTTTCAGAAGCCTCAGGTATTTTTTTCTTTGAGTTGAATTTTATACCCGTTCAAGAAAAAAAACAACGCGAATTGTCTCCAGTAAACTATCGAAATAGGGGATAAAGTACTTTCAACAGGCTCATGATGCTACAGCAGGTCAAAGAACAAGCTGGCTAAAGAGGCAGGGTTACTGTCAGTAAGAAACTTTCTTGTTATTTCAGAAAGCTCTTAATTATCTTCCATAATAATGTTCCTTGTCAGTCAATTTTGTTATGATTCATCAGGTTTTATTGTAAGCATCATTCCAAACATTTAGATGCAGCTAGCAATTTTAAGTGTCTAACTTCAGATATCATGAGATTTACTTTTTAGCAAGTAGATTTACATTTTTGGAAAACCATGCCTTTGCAGACTATCTTAAACGTGCAGTTATGAGGCATTCCTTAGTACTGTCATCATTTTCTGAAGACCTTTTGAAGTCTCCACAACTACAAACAGACGTAATTTGATTACTCTTGTATGTCATTTCAAATGAAAAGCTGCTACAATTCCAATTCATTTGTATAACTGGAGAATTATTTTATATGAAAAGCGCATTTCATTATGTGAAAAAACTTAAACATTAATCCAACTCACCTGGAGTAACTTTCAGCAAATATTAGTATGTATTTATGGCCTGTTCAGGCACCAAGGTTTTGTGTCCTGTCTAGCTAGATGACAATCACTTATTCACAGCCAAATTACATGAGCAATTCCAATAGAAAAGAACATAATGGTCTGATAAAAGACACATTTCTTGCTAGTACTGATACTTCCAGTATTCCCTGAACCTGGGAAAGTGTGTAAAGAGGAAGTTTACCATTAGAAACTGCAAGGCTTCTGTAGAAATCTAGTTCACTTGTAATTGTGGCAGATTTCCCCTTTTGAATGAACCCGTGCTCTCCTATCTTCTTTACTCTGGTTCTTTATTTGCTTTTTGCTTTTCCTCCTTTACCTAAATACAAGATCAAAAAGGAACTTTTAATTTTTTTTTTAAAAAATACATTACGTTCAGGCCCCAAACTTGTCCATGCTGATACATAATTACTCCAAGTCAATACTTGCTGTGGTGTCCTGATGGTAAACATCACAGGTATGAGATGCGAATCACAAAATTGGTTCTTTATATATAATTTACCCTGTTGGACACAGTACTATATCTACATTCATTTATCTATTGCACCCTTTAATGCTATTCACACTTCATTTTTATATGAGAATTCTCAAAACACGAAGTTAACAACTGAACTGTTGAATCTCTAACACCTCAAGTTTACCTGTACAGAGGAAAACCATTGATTTGTTTTTTCAGTCGGGAAGATAAAAACTAACTTTTCAGAACAAGGAGATAAAAACTGTTCTCTTAAGATACGCAGGTATATTCTCTTACATCTACTTTTCTGTATCATGAATCTTAAAAAATAAAACCAAAAATGGCTTCGATCTTCCCTATGTGTCATCCTTTTTCAGACCTTTGATAATATGCAGTTTACTTTTGTGTGATTCTGCAGTGAACTGCATTTTTTTTGTTTATAGTCCTGCCTCAAAACTTGTGTATCCAATTTATGTCTAATCCACTCTTAAAAAGTAAAATAAACAACTGAGCTGCTCTTCTAAATACGTATCTACACATTCTCTCCTTCCTGTACTTATTTTGCTGACAGCTGTACTCAAAAAACCCAAATCTGTAGCTTATGGAGACATGAGTGTATACTGGTTGGAACTGCTTACTTTGCAAAAATTCAGGCATATTTAAAAACAATGCTACACTTCAAATGTTTCAAATATTCTCCGTTGACACAGCTGCCCAAACATTCAGGCTGTGCTGCAGTCAGGTGAACATGTGTTACCACACGAGGCTTAGAGAATGATTGCTGTGGTACAGCTCTTCATACTTTGATGCAGTTAATGCATATAAAATTGACTGGTACCCTTTTGAAGTGTATCTTTAAGAAGATAAATAGCAAATACAACTTTTAGTAGTAAACAGATGAAAGGTTTTTGTTTTCTGTAAACACCATGATTACATCAGGTCTGTTTCTACTTTCCCAGCCATCCAATTTAAAAAAAAAAAGTACTCTTGTCACCTGGGTTTGGCATTGTCTGTTAAACCTGTTCTCTATTGCACTTTCTACACTTCCACTTTCACTACACTTGCTGACTAGTTGAGAAACTACTTCACGAACGGTCACATTCCATACAGTAACAAGTTGCTTTGCTGGATCCATTTTCCTTGTAGGATTTTGTTTTTTGTGTGGTGTTTTTTTTTTGTTTAACTGAAAAAATGCACAGTCATTTCTACTCTCTTTTAGCATTCGTAGTGTAGAAAACACTACGCCTTATTCTGCAAGGAAGAAACAATGCTGTCGCTGTCAAACTGGCATGACCTCAGATGTTGTTTCTTCAGCTGCCGGCTGAGAGTTTGTACCTGTCTGTGCTACTGGTACCACCACCGCGTCCTTGACGTCCGAGCTCTGAGTGCTCAAAGAGTTCTTCTCCTCCAGTTTTTTGGCGGTGTCTGGGCAGTTCTGAACAAAGATGACTCTGTTGTAGGCTTTCAACCTGCGCCACAGCTGCACATAAACCTTACACTGCACGTACATGAAGACCAGGCCCCCTGTGAATCCAATGGCCACCACAACGAGTTTTGTCCAAAACGGCCATTCAAGGACACCTTTGAAATAAAACGTTTATATTTATTACCACTGTTATACATTGAGTATCAAGTACGGAGTCTCAGTAAAATATTTTGAAAAGAAGCCATTTGCTAAGAATTCCCAGGTACGTACACGCTACTGGGGCACTGGTGGCTCAAGTAGAAAACAGCAGCAGTTTCGTGTCCCATGGGCCAGCCAAGAAACTACATCTGCCTCCCACTTTTAACTGACTTCACCGCAATTTGGTCAAATAAGAAATGCAAGGCCACTCTCACCAGGGAAGCATAATGCTTGATGCAGTCAAAACCAAAACACTGTACTGTTCTTCAATAATATCCCCGTATTCAATAGCTTGCTTAAGCAAAAATACAAGCACCAAACCCGAGGTAACTGGATACCTAGAAATATTATGCACATCTTTCTTCAGCAACTACTGTTTGGGGTTTTTTTAATCGTGCTAGAAGCATGACACTGTTTAGGGTATGGAACACCACCATTTACAATATTATTACCTGGGCCTGGCTTCATCCTGAAGTCAGGATATAGTAAAAAAAAGCTAGTGGAAAGGACTCATCTCCTGCATCACCTGCCTTCGGTGGCTTCTTTTTCCTGCTGTCTGCAACCCCCCTGAACACACCTATATCAAAAAGCAAAACTTACATTCCTATGTACTAAAAAAGTAACTTTGTAGGTTTTGGTGTATCTGTTCTTACTTTTCTCATTGCATTGATAAATCACATTGATATTTACAGAAATTTATATGGCTGCTAACACAAAAAAGCTAGAGATGAGAGTATTTGACTACGGTGTGAATAATACTAAAATTATTTGCTTTGGCCTAAATGTGGTCTTAAGATTTTAAAAGAATAGATTAATGTTGTATTAAGAACAGCCTTCTCCTCAATTCATACTACTGCATCTGCTTTTTTTCAACCATTCAGTAGGCTAACATAAAGGAACAGCTACCTCTTACCTCCTAGACCTGGTAACCTGGACTACTCAAAAACAAGTCTTTGCTTTTAGCCAGCTGTGTGAGTCTCATGAATCTAAGCATCCCCTTTACTGTTAAACACATAGGAACTGAGCTTTTAATTAAATAAATGATCAGAGACCAAAAGAATATTAATTATTGCTAAAGCACACAAAATGTTTGAAGTAGCTGTAGTCATCCCTGTTATGGTAACGCCTTAGTAGTACTTACAAATGGTAACAATATATTAACTAACTGATGGTATTAGCCAATTATTTTTTTTAATTTCCAGCAAAATGAAAGCATACAGAGACCATGTAAATCACTTTGTATCTCCCCACCACTGTTAACTCTGGTTAGTTGAACTTGCCAGGGACTAATCCTTTTATATTTGTTAAATTTGTTCACAAAATGTTTATCTTGCTTCAGTCCCTTGTTCCTGGGACAAAAAGTAACAATAGTTTGTTTGCTCAGGCATTCATATCCAGTAATGGTTTTTTTTTCCTTTTTTTTTTTTTGTCCTTTAATAACTGCTTTTAAAAATCACTGTCTCTTTCTTGCTTTTAATTATAAAAACAATATGCTTTGCATCTGACTAAGCCCCATCAGTGGGTAATGACATTTAGAACCAGCATGTCGCAGCTGGAGTGCTGAGCTCCAAGGAAAGAGGCTGAATAAACTGCTCAGCTTTCCTTCAGAGTGTCTTCCAGCTCTTAGCAGTACAGAGGTGCTGCTGCTTCTTCCATGGCAATACAGGAAGCATCATTTTTTTTGCTTAACTGAAGTCTGGCACAGTGAATTTTGTACCTTTCAGTATATTCCAGAATTGACAGATTTTCACAGACTCGAGCTTTATTAGATAAAGCTCAGCTAAGCCTAGACCTGTTTCTTCAAGTAGAGCAAATGTATGTGAACTTGACTCCCTATCACTGGTGCCATATAAATTCTAGAATATTTTAAATATATTTTAAATTGTCCTTTCTATAGACCAGTGACTGGTTTACCAATTAAGAGGGTTACACTTTTATTTATTTGCATCAAATGCTTTTGTAAGGGGAAAAAAACCCCTTTAAATATTTTGAGAGATACATTTGAAAAAATATTTTTAAACTTACATAATATTAACAAACTATTATTATTCAGGGCTTTCAGTTTTTCTCCTCTTCAAAATATGTTCATAAAGGTTTTTTTCTCTCCAGTGTTCACTGTCTTTTCCCCCTCATTTCCCATTTAAACAGAGATAACAAAAAAGAGAGAAAAGCAAACTACAGATATGTCTCCCCTCCCCAATACAGATGTGTGATTCTGTAAAAATACTTTTCCCCCCCGGCCCCAACAAGCAAATTTTGGGATAAAAGAGTTCTCTTCACAAACACTTATTTTTGTGTATTGTAAGTAGCTCCAAGGCATCTTTCTGTTCATTTTTTTAGTGTGGAGAATCGTCCATTACATTTGGCAAAAACTGAATTCTATACAAATCGCAAATAATTTTGAGCCTACCAGAATTAATTAAATGTGATTCTTAGGGATTCTATATAAGAACCAAAATTCATGTTAGCTGTTTTGTTGGATAAATTCAGCTAATCCACAGACATACCTTTCCCCTTTTTAATGAGTACAGTGGTGTAGTTGTACTTATAAATAGAAGCTCAAAGCCATTCCTAGTCCTGTCCTCAGGGCCAGGTTTTTTGAGATGAAAAAACAGGGCTATCTATTTAGAAAGAATGCAAAACAAGACTTTGTATTATACACTCATCTGTGACTTACTGTGGCTTCTTACGTATTTTCCTCTCAGAGGCAAGAAAGGCAAGCATCAGGAGTATCATCAAATATTTAACTAGCAAGGCACAAAGCTCCACCTGTTTTGTTTTCCATGTTAACTTCAGAGTATGGCACAAAGCTAGGGACCTTTGTCCCGCGACTGTCTAAATGCTTAAAGTCAATTCAGATCAAAACTCAAAAGCTTTTTATCCTCTTCATCATCAAGATCATATTTAAGACTAAATTTAAGACTGAATAGACTTAGATTTGAAATGGAAAACAGTAGTTCAGTTTGCAATATAGTTTCCACATACGGTAAGAATAGTCCAAAAAGAAACCTACTTATGTTAAACATGCATTTTGTTACACATGTCCAGCTGGGTTTTCACTGTCTCCACAGATAGAGACTCTGAGACCTCTCTGTTCCACCATTTGACCACCCTCACAGTAAACACAACTGGAATAAGGACACTCACAGTGAAATTTGTTTGAAGGGACACAGGAATGGCTTTCTGTGCTACTGAACTCCCACACAAAGGACTAACGCAACTGGAACACGGTCTCTTGGAAGTTCGTATTAGGAAGCTTGCTGATGACAGGACTTTATCATGTTTTACAGGATATCAAGGTTCAAGTGGGTAATATAAATAAATTGCTGTTTTATGACCTGAACTTGCACTGAGCTGTTTGAATTTGACTCATCTTTTTGTCTGAGCTTTAGAAATATCTAGATAATGGCAGATTAACCTAAGAAGAACCAGCAGGCTAGTTAAGCTGTTGTAATGATTACACTAAGTAGAGATATCTCTGCAGGGGCATAACATAAGCTTTTAGCACTGATGCATTCATTACCTCTGCATTAAAGCATTTGATGTAGCCATGTATCAGTGAGCTGTTACTTAAGAACAGAATGTGACTGGTTACATAGCTGCATCTCACATCCACCCATTACATTATCAACAAGACTGAAGAAGATAAAAAATACTTACCATTATCATTGCCTTGTTTAATTTCCTCAGCGGTTCTATCAATTAAAACATACAATGACCAAACAACACAGGTAATTGCAATTACGTGGAATGTGACTGAACAAACTATTTTCCTCCTCTCACTTGTTGTCATCTGTAGTTTCTCCCACTGTAATTTAAAAAACAAAAAGTATTAAAAAAAAAAAAATCAGACTTGTAAAATGATTTTTACAAAAATCAGACTTGTAAACTGATTAGGCCATTCTGGCTTTTTCTACCGAAAAAGCAAGCAGTAATAAAATGAACAAATCCTTTGATTTTGATGACACACATTCCAGAGTATGCGCATTGTCACTGTAAAATTCATAATTATCTCACTTTCACAGATTCAGAGGAATGAAGACTTGTGTTCTGTTTCTGTCTGCTTGCGAATAACATCTAAAGTAATTTATTGCAGTAGAGCCATAACTTGTAAATAGGCAGGTAAAAACCTGAATATTTATCTGATCTTTACCTGATGCACACTTCTGGAGATGAGAGAAGAATACCCCCAAACATTAGCTTGTAATATTTAAACTATTCTCAGTTGCTTAAAATTAGAGGAATGCAGTTGTGGAACAGTCTTTCCATAAAAAGCATAAGAAATGCAACTGCATTGAAAATTAAATTCACTAAACTTGAAAAGATGATTATGTGGAAATGATCGTACATGATAGCAGTCAAATAGCCTCAGTAACGCAAGAAGGATCTTCAAGGCATGTGTTTGTGAATTATGGCACTAAAGCCATCACATGTTTGTGAACTATGGCACTAAATCCTAGCTTAAGTTAAGGGTATTTTAAGATGAAATAGGCTATTCTGTGCATTTGAACAATGCCACTCTTGAGGCGATTTTTTTTTTTTTTTAATCTCACTTGTGAAGACATTTTTTTCAGCACGTCTTTAAAATAAAACCCTTCTCTACTTAAATGCTTGCCTTGGAAAACAGATGAAAAAGTATGACATTTAAAAGCAAAATGCCTCAATTGCGATGAATAATCTCAGAGTCAGTCGCCAGCATCTGATGAATGAGAGGAGTACAAACCACAATACGACAGTGCCACCTCTCTGCAGTCGTGCTCGTGCAAGACTGAACTGTGCTTCAGCATCCAAGCCACCACACTGACCACCGGGACAGCCAAGCTGCTCCTCCGCTTACACAGACCTTTGGCCTTCAGAGCACTGAGGTGGCAAAAATTTACTTTGAAGGTATGCGTTTGGCTTTGTTTTTCTGGTTTGGGGTTATTTGTCAGCTGTTTTTTTTTTTTTTTCTTTATTTTTTTTCTGGGGGGGGAATAACAAACTTCCCAAAATTGCTTATGGCTAGTGTTGGAGATGATAACATTTAGCTAATGTGATCTAGGCTAAGCTAGCCGCTTCGACTTTAACCTGAACCAATATGGCCATTCTTCCACTCTGGAAACTATTTGTTGTCTGGTCACATTTTGAAGGAGCACAACTGCAGTAAAAGCTGAGGACTGTCAATGCAATGTCACCAGAAGGGCTAACTCTCAGAAATGCTTCTTCCTGCCATTAGTTTTAAAGCAGTACATACCGGTCCAAACAAATTTCATTCTTTAATGACAGTTAAAGCTTGCATGTTTCAGACCTGTTGCCTCAAAACACAGTCTCTGGAGCATTTTCTAGCCCTTGCCAGAATTTTACAAACACAAGGCTTAAATAACTGTTTAGAAGAACTGAAATATTTCCTGAGTAATATAAAAAGAAACAAAGCTAGCAGCTTATTTACCAGCTGATAAATCACTTCAGTTTCTGAGACATGTACTTAGGAGTGAAAAGTAAGCTTGCTGGATTTTGTATAACAGTCTGTAAAAATGGGAGGCATTAAAAAAAAAGTAATAAAACCCCAGAACCTTATGTTCATTGTAGTTCATGGAGGTAGTATTCGGCATTCAGACCAGATAGACTGTGACATTATCGTTACAGTCTTATCATATCATTACAGTCACCAGGTTACACAGCATTTGACCTGGTGACTTTTATCCTTTTTGCAGTGAAAATTCAATTCAAGCCTTGCAACAGGCTTTCTTTCCAAATAAAAAGTTGTCTTTGTCAGATGGAAGAAAGGATTTTACCTTAACCCTTCACTTAGCTTTGGATGCTTTGTGGGAGAACAATGTTGAACATAGAGAAGAATGAATTGTGTTCTTAAACAGAAATTTTCTGTCATCTCGACTCTGATGCTACACTTTTTGGTCTACTGGAGACAAAATTCTGTCATAAATTTTCTTTGTCATGTATATCTGTAGTCTCATTATAGCCATTTTACTCTCTGTAACATACACAAAAGCCACAGAATGTTGATCTGAATGCCCAATCAAATAAAGCTTTTTCACATGGAGTTTTAAAGTCAAAGAAGAATAATTACTACTCTTTAGAATCCTGTTACTCTAAATGTAAACATTTTGTAGGTGGGAAAGAAAAAAAGACAAAACCAAATGACCATCAGGCAAGATATAGGTAAATAAAGGAACAACTTCACACACTTTTTGCTGAGATTTACAGGAAAGATGTATCAGGAGAGGGAGCTAGCAGAAATGGGCTAAAGCGGGACTTTTTTGCTAACATCCCGTGATCAAATCCAGCCACAAAGCAAGCCAAGGCCTACGGGCTCTGCTTCCTCTCTCCAGCCCCTTTTCTGCTCCCACAAGACAGCACATCTGCGCGCCTATTGCGACCACGTGCACGATACACACCGGAAATAAGCTGGCTGGCAGGAGACCGGGAGAGGCCACCAGGACCCCCAGGACGTGGGTGCTTATGGAACTGGAAGACTGTGCAGAGCACCTCCCACTCCCAGTCGGCATACAAGAAAGGAACAAGGACCAAGGAGAGACTCCTGCTCACACGGAAAGACACAGGGGGATCACAGCACTTGGGAGCATTTTACAGCGCTCGGTGTCTCCCAAAGCTGCGCTTCTGTTTTGCACTGCCGTAATTGCAGTCCCAGTTCTCCTCTCTACTCCAGTCATCGTGCGCTGCGCTCAGAAGGTGAAATTCAATTAAACTTTGTGCTCTACTCCTGGTGATCCCTGTGGTAGCTGAGGTGATTCTGTTGTCCTACTCATGTATTTTAGCTTGGCTGAACAGAGAGTACTATGTGACTACTGTCACTCTCTACTAGAGGAGTGATGTTAGTAGATAAGCCAGCAATTTAAGTTGCCCTGGAGGAGAAAAGTGCAATTCACTATTTTAGGATTTTTGCAATAGGCTTAAATCTAAAATTTAACTGTTAATGTTAGCCCAGATTTGCTTTGATAAAAGCACAATTACGTGAACTAAAAATTGCTTGCAAGTCCATAGTAAAGGCTGTGAGACAACAATATACTGAGCAGCGAAAGCATCAGCCCCTTCTACTTGTGCTTTGTAGTCCAGCTGGGTAAGTAAGTTTGGCTGCTGCTACCATGTCACAGAGCACATTAATGCCTCCTTAACCACTGATAGATTCACTCCTGCTGTATTTTGAAGCTTCTGCAATTCTCATGGCTCTCTACGTTCAGTACATGATGGCAAGATACAAATAAATTGCGTTACATTTTTTTATCTTCATCAGTGATCTGGAAAAACCTACAACCATCAGGTTGATGACACTGTGACATGCCATGGATAGACATCAGATGCCACTAAGAAGAGAAAAATAACACAAAAGTAAGCACCCAGATGCAATTTTCCTTGGAAACTTGTATGTTAATACTCCTAAGGTGCTCTAGAGACTGGAAGGAGAGAAAGAAACGGAAGACTGTAACAGCCAGAGGAGATATTTATAATGACTTGCAAATATTATTGAGTCACTAAACTGATAGAGAAACACTGCAGTTTTTGCCCAGACTCCTCTGAAGCACCCCTTCACTGTTGTACATCCGGTTGTCACCACCCACAGATTCCTTAATTCTGGCAGCTATACAAAACCAGACTGGAAATCACCACAGATGCAGATGGTTTAATATCCTGCAAATACAAGCAACCGCATGAATATCATTATGCTCCACGGATCAGGTATGCTAAAACACTTCGTAACATCTAACAACCACAAGACCTTTTACACAAGTCACCAAACAAATCCACAATGCAACAATATGTGTGCCGAGAAGAAAGCCTGAAATATCCATAACTCCCTTTTTATTTTCCGAATAAACTTTCCGAACGTTACGCTTGTACTGTACTCTCCAAACCACTGGAGGGTGGTAGGAGACTGCCTGCCTGCTTCAGAGATTCCTACCGAGAAGCCAGAACCAACTAAGCATCAAAGGAAAGAAGCCGGATTGTAAATGTGATCAGAAACACACCTCCCACCCCAACTGCTACTTACAGCTACCTCTAAAACACGACGTGCACCTCAGCCTGAATTCCTGTGCTTTACTGCCAGAGAAACGTGTACTAATCTTGAAAGTGGCAGCTGTAAAACTGTACCCTGTTCTAGGTTTCTACCTCGTGTTTTGGTTTTGCTTCTTAAAGGCTATCTTGCTCTGAAATTTAAAGGGAACGGTAGCTGATTTCATAACCCACTCTTACAATTACAAAATGTAGTCATGAGTCTTCTGGGGAAAGAAAAAAAAAAAGAAAAAAGAAAAGAAAAAAAAAGAAGAAAAAAAATTGAATAGTTTGCTCACATGGAACAACCAAATCATATGTAGTCAACCACTTCCCTTTCCTGTATCACAGTTTGAGAAAATCCCTGATATTTAAAGGACCAAAATTTCCCTCCCCGCATGTCACCTCGTAATAAAAGTTTGGTTAAGCAATATGGAACAAATAAATATGGATATTTTTAAATATCCTCTGAAAATGGATTATGAGTGGATCTGGGGATGTTGCTTCATATCCTAGAGATCCCAATAAAGCCTCTCTTCTTATAGAGAGAATTACATCTGCAATTTTAATTCCCTCCCATACATTAAGCTTTCTGCAAAGTGGTTTCATGGTGGCCCAATGCAGAACCAAAAGCTTCACACTGCTCACACAAAAGCTGTTAACCACACTACAGAATTACAGCCTGCAAACTTAGCTGCTTGTATTCCTTTTCCCTACCTTCAGATTGCAGATTTATTGTCTGCCTGCCCCCATCCCCATTTTGTGTCTGCATGTTGCCTCCTGCTAATGGTAATTTTC